TGCTTGGAGAACATGTGGAATTGTTGTATTCCTGATTCCTCAATATAGTGAGGAATTCATGCTCAAGTGTAAAGGGCAAGTTAGGTCAAGGACAGGGACAAGAGGCTCCTGAGACAGCATGAATGCCTTTAAGTTCAAAGACAGAGTCCAGAAGAAAACATTTCCGTATGTTGTGCTTACAAGAAAGTTTTTCTTAGTCTTGAATTTATGTCCAGGAGAAGCCACTTTCTCTCAAAATGTGGGACAGAAACAGTGGGGCAGGGTACTCAAGCCAGCACTTTTGTACCTTTAAAATACATTACAGGGGCCGGGGAGATGGCTCAGTGGAATAAGCGCTTCTCTGGAAAGCACAAGGGCCTGAGTTCAATCCCCGGTTCCGTAAAAATAAAATAAAATACATTACATCTTGCAAGTCTGTACTCTGCATCTGAACTTCACTATCTGAGATCTTCAGTTTTAATTTCCTTCACTCTACTGACTCCCACTCATGATGACTTTCTTCCTTGTGAACGTTACGATTTTCATCGTACAGTTGTATTCCCTGACATGGGACCTGTCAGGAATCCTTTGAGGACTGAATTCCAGTTGGTTGCTATCTTCCAGGAAAGATTCGCGTTTGTGTTTCCTGTCCCCAGCGGCTCTGCCAACCCTGGCACACTGGGATTCCTGTCTGCTGTAATTCTTCAGCACCAGAATCCAAATGGCAGGTTTCCAGGCTGCCATCTCTGGGGAGCATGTTTGTTGCATTTGTACCCTGTGGTTCCCTAACTTCACGCGCAGCCTCCCACTAGCTATCACCCAGAGTGGGTCCTTTGCCTGTCACCTCTTCTCTACAGTTGATAAAATGATAAAAGTAAAAACCATGATAGTGAGAATGCAGCTTCAGATCTTGCATATTTCCATACAGTTTTTGTTTTCATTCCATTTTCTGGACATTCCTTAACTTTGTGTCACCCTACTGATACATTTTAACAGATTTTCACATATTTGCATAAGCATTTCCCTTTCTTACCAGAAGAGTCATTTATATTATCACAGTATGCCATGCAACTAGAAATAAAAGCCAGTCATCTTCTAATTTACTTGCCATTCACACTTCACTATTCCACTGAAACCATTCTGCTCAAAACCACCAATAGGGGCTGTGAAGATAGCTCAGTGGACTAAGCACCTGCTTAACCAAGCAGGAACCAGGGTTCCATCCCCAGTACCACATGCTGAGCCAGCCAAGACTGGGTGTGGTGTCACACTCCTGTAATCCCAGCACTGGGGAGGCTGAAAACAGGAGGATCACTATGAGTCCAAGCTGCATAGTGAGACCCTGTACAAAATACATAAAAAGTAGATAGTTTTCATATGATAAATCCAGCAGCAATTTTCAAGCTTCATACTTTCACTTTTCAGTAATATTGGCCACAGCTAACCCTCCCTTAAACAGCATCTTCATGTGCCTTCAGGAGCCTTCACTTTCCTTGCTTTCCTTCCATCTCTAGCTCCACCTTCTTGATCTCTTTTATTGGGTTCCTCTCCTCTCCTAAACTGCAAAATCCTAAACTCTTGATGCCTCAGTCATGAACTTTCTGCTCTAGCTACATGCACTTCCCAGGTAATTTCAGCCAACGCTTCAGAAGCATCTGTGGAGCTGGCGATGCAGTTCAGTACTAACCCATGCACCCAGCGTGCCCAAGGATCTAGGCTCCTTCTTTAGTACCTCACAAGTACAGTTAAAATATCTTTGTGCTAATAGCAACCAAATTGATATTTTAATCCCCATCTACCAGGATTTCTAGATTTACATGCAATTGCTTACTGAATCTTTCTTTTAGGTCACCAGTGCTCATTGGTTATCAAAAACCTAAAGTGTTTCAGATTCTTCACATCTCCAGTAGAACAAAACAACTCCCCAGCCTTTCCCAGTTCTTCCTCTCATCTACAAATGGCACCATGATTTGCCAAATTTCGAGCAGTTGCTGATTTTATTGTAGTTGTTTTTCTCTCTTTAAAATAAAAGAAATGAGGTTGGGGAGATAGCTTAGCTGTCTAAGCACCTGGCTGGCAAGCACCAGTACCCAGGTTCTATTCCCGGTACCACAGCCCTGCAGCCCTGCTGGCTGCTGAAACCAGGCGTGATGGTGCACACCTGTAATCCCAACCCTTGGGAGGCTGAGCCAGGTGCCTCTCATCCCTACCATTCCTGGGCTCTGTGGCCTCTACCTGCAGAATTACCTTGAAGCCAGCTACTTCTCAGGTCCACCATCCAGGACAAGAGCAATGTGTGCCACCTGGACAATCCTAATGATCCTCAGCTGCCCTTCAGCTTCTGGCCAGCACCACTAGGATCTCTGTTACCAGTGACATAACTTCCTGCCCAGTGCTGTTCTCGGTCAGATGCTAAGTACAGAGCCATAAGCACGTCACTGGGAAGGCTGGGTAAGGAGGATGTGTAATTTGAGCCCAGTCCAGAAAACTTAGCAACTTAGTTAAGAACTTCCCTCATGATTTAAAAAAAAAGGCTGAAAACAGCTGCATGTTATGGGGTCCCTCATTACTAATCTAGCGGGTCTTTCTCCATGCATTTCCCCCTTTCCCTGATACTTCTGCCACCGCAACTTTTGTCCTTTCCGTGAACAAACCAAATTAAATTCCATCACAGAACCTTTGCTCATGCTATTCCTTCTACCCCGAGTTCTCCTCTCCTACCTCTTTCTGGTTCACACTTTTCCCTTATTTAGTTTTCTGTTCAAAACACCTCCAAAGAAAGACCTTTCATTGACCACAGTCTTATTTTCAGTCTCTTCATTTATACAATTTTTTTTCACTAGCATTCATTACTGTTTGAAACTGTGTAACTCATTTTATTTTATTTATTTATTTATTTATTTATTTATCTGGTATAGGGTCTTGTTACACAGCTCAGACTTGTAGTAATTTCCTGGCTCAGCTTCCCAAGTGCTGGGATTACAGGTGT